ACTAATTACCTGATGTTGAAAATACCTTGCATTTATGTAGCACCCTCAATTTGTAAAGCATTTTACATTATCTCATTTATTATTTACATTGTCTCATTTGATCATCACAGAAATTCTATGAGGCAGTTGCTATTATTTCCCCCATTTTATTGATAAGAAACCTAAAGCTGAGAGAGGTTAAGTGATTTGTTCAGGCTGACATAGCTAGTAAATGTCCAAGACAGGATTTGAACTCAAGTCTTCCCAATGCCAAGTCCAACACTATCCACTGTGCCACGTAGCTGCCTATGCACACTCCCACCTGAATGTCCAATCAACATCATAAACTCTACCTCCCCAAAAATAGAACTCAACATCTATCCCATTACTTGCTTTTCTCCTAAACCTCCTTATTTCTATTGAGACCACCACCATCCTTCCAGTCACCCAGGATGACAACATTGGAGTCAAATGAAGCAATACCTCTCAAGTGCTTTGTAAATCTTAAAGAGCTATATAAAATATTAGCTGTTGTTTGTTGTTGTTTTTATTCTAAGAGGCTTCTCTCTCCCTCACTTTGATATCTTTTGCAAAATCCTGACGGTTCTATTCTCGTGATGTGTGTTGTATTGTCTCCTCTCCACTCATACCAGTCACCACCCTGATTCCTGCCCTTATCATGTCTCCCCTAGACTGTTGGCATAGCCCCTTGATTGGTCTCCCTGACTCTGGTCTCTCTCCTTATCCAGTCCATTCCCCACACAGCTATCAAAATCATATCCTAAGGCACAGGTCTGACCGTGGCATTCCTTTGCTCAAAGCTTCCCTACTGCCTTTAGGAAACATACAAACCCCTCAGCTTGGCATTTAAGGCTCTTCACAACCTGGTCCTAATCTACCTTTCCAGGTTTATTTAACATTGCTTCCTTTTATATACCTCTATTCTAGCCAAACTTGGGACTCCAACCTTGGTCAATCTCACAAGTTACTCATTCCCCTTGCCTAGAATGAATGCTCTCTCTCAGTCTCTGTCTGTCTCTGTCTCTCTCTTTCTCTCTCCATCTCCATCTCCCCCTTCCCCTCTCTCCCTCCCTCCCTCCATTCCTTCCTGTCCTCCTCTCTCCTCCCCCTTCCCCCTTTCCTCTCCCTCTCTCTTACCATTTCCCTCCATCCCACTCCCTCCTTCTCCAATCTCCCCCTCCCTTGCTCCTTCTCTCCCTCACTCTCACTCTCTCATCTTCCTCCCTCCTGCCCTTTAAGGCTCAACTCCAGGACCACCTCCTCCATGGAGCCTTCCTAGGTCCCTTCAGTGGTCAGTCCTCACTTCCTCTCCAACTTAGCATATGTGAATATATTTGTGTGCCTGCAATATCAGTGCGTAATATAAGTTCCTTTAGGGCAGGAACTGTTTATAATTATGTCTCTGTATCTCCGATGCCTCCGTGCTCGCCCATAATTGGCACTTAACAAAGTTTGTTAAATTAAATTCTAAGGGGAGGCAAAAGAGTAGGGTTACAGGATTATTATTTTTTTCATTCTTCACAGAGGAAAGTTCAGTAGGATGAAGGTTTGTAAAGACAGAAGGAACTCAGAAGGCAAGACTGAGTATGTCTCACTAATAGATTGAAAAGCCAGGAGATGTTCATGAATTTTTACTGAAGTGTTCATTTTTATGATGAAGTCTTACTTTTAGGATAGTGTTTTTGAAGTCAGGAAATTAGATAACTTGTCATTGGGATCATTTCTATTCAAAAACTGATAAACCATCATCTTCTAAACATAAAGCCTTTCCTGGTTCCACCTAACTGCTAAAGCCCTTCCTCCTTAACTACTTTGCCTTTAGCTACCTTGTATTTGGGGCAGCTAGATGGCGCCATAGTGCACAGAGTGCTGGGTCTGGAGTCAGGAAGACTCATCTTGCTGAGTTCAAATCTGGCCTCAGACACTTATTAGCTATGTGATCCTGGGCAAGTCACTTAACCCTGTTTGCCTCAGTTTCCTCTCTGTAAAAATGAGCTGGAGAAGGAAATGGCAAACCACTCCAATATCTTTGCCAAGAAAACCCCAAGTGGGATTACAGAGAGTTGGAATATGACTGAACAATAACAAACTTTGTATATATTATATATATATACATGTTATAGATGTATATATAGTATATATAAAGTATATAGTATATATATATAAAGCAAACCAGCAAACCAGGTTCGGTCCTGGGGGAGACTAGTCTATAAAAGTTGAATATGACTCTTTCTTGAATTCTCTTAGGTCTTTATACCTCTACCCAGGAGAGGATCACTTACAATTTACATTTGGCTCATGTCTAGGGTCTCCCCAAAAGGAGAAGTAGAAAGTTACTCAATGTACTATGTAGAGCAAGCATAGGACAGCTATTTATTTTCTCTACGGTAAAAAAAAAATTCTTAACACACACAAAACCCACACATAGGCACTGGCAGAAAGGTAAACAATCAGCACTAATATATAACTACAGTTACCCTCTCCTGGGAATTTGAGACTTCAGTGTATTTCGTATCTCAGCATTGCACTGTCCAAAAACAATTCCCTCCAATTCCATGTCTTCTAGCAAACCAAACCAGGCATTGATTGGGCTCATTCTCTTGCTGATGGTCATCTGGAAGTTGCCAAAGGAGCTCTAATACACATTCCATGAAATGACCCCTTTAAGTCCCCTACCCATGCATGCTCCCTGAGGTGAAACCCCTACTATGTATAAATATAATGCCTCCCCCCCCCCAAATAGCATATAAGCTCCTTGAGAGGAAAGACTGGGGTTTTTTTTGTCTTTATATCTTCATTTCCTAGCACACAGTAGGTATTTAATAAATGTTTGTTGATTGATTGATCTTAATCATTCATGGGTTAAGTTTTTACAAGTGGTACAGTTTTCTCTGCAATTTATAGTCATAGAGAATGGGTAAGGCACTGAGAGATTTGTCCAGGGTCACATAGACAGTATGTATCAGAGGTAGATTTGGAACCTAAGTTCTCCTGGCTCTGAAGTTAACTCTCTATCCACTGTACCATATTGCCTCTCTGATATAATTACGAGAAAATGAGAATGTGGGACTTTTATTAAAACCACACATCTGGAATTTACACAAATCTAAATTTTAACCTACCAAATTGTGTGTCCATGTTTCCAGATACCTCTCACAAGAAACATTCAGGACTTCTAACCAGGCTTAACGAGAAGTTTTAGAAATAATTCCTCATAGAATTTTCTGGAGTTGCTTCCTGTCATGTTAACTGCTTACTTGTCCCAGCTCTCTTTTTCTGAAAATAGCAACTTCTCACTCTTTATGCTACCAGAGGGAGTGAATAGATTACAAACGTATTAGAGCTTCCTCTGCACAGGTGTCAGTATAAGGCAGTTATTCTAGAACCCTTCAAGAATGCTGTTTTATCATATTGCTTGGTATATTGCTGATATATTCATATTACTAGGGAGTATTTGATTTTCAAAAAGAAAATGGTAAGGGTGTGTTGAGAAATGATATGTGTGTTATTTTCACACATTGTATGTGATATGCATGTGATATTTTATATATAACATTTATACAGGACTAATGACATATGTTGCATGATTGTATTATGCATATATCATATCATATATTTACAACTGGAAGAAACTTAGAGGTCACCCACTCATTTCATAGATAAATTTCAATTCAAGAAAATATGCCTATATTAAGCATCTACTATGTGCAAGGCACTGTGCTAAGTGCTTGGGGTAGAAAAACAAAAATGAAACAGTCCCTGGCTTTAAGGAGCTTGGGTAAAAACAGAATTTGACAGAATTCTACTAAAAACAGAATTTGAGAGAAGCTAAGTGATTTGCCTAAAGTTACACAGGTATTAAGTGACAGAGTCAAGATTAGAACCCAGATCATGTATTCTTTCTCTTGTATATTTTTAAGTCATATTTTATTAATGTCCTTTTTCAAAAATCACATTTATCTACAAATTTATGCCTTCCTATTTCCCTATTCAATGAACCATCTCTTATAACAAAGTTTAAAAAAGAAAGAGGTGAAAAAACAAAACAGTTCAGGAAAACTAATCAACATGTCAGCTGTGTCTGGAATCCTATCCAGTATTCCATACCGTAGCCCCTTAGCTCTGCAAGCCCCCTGCTTCATGCCTTTTTCTTTTAAAGTAGAGGTTTTTTAATTATTTTTGTGCAATGGACTCCCTTGGCAGTCTGCTGAAACCTCTAGACCCCTTCTCAGCACAATGTTTTTAAATGCATAAAATAAAATACATAAGATTACAAAAGATACCAGTTACTAAGAGCTTCTTGTTTTGGAGTATCTGACACATAGAAATCAAAACTATGAACAGATATCACAACTTGGATTAAATAACTAATTTTGTAGAGTGGTGATATCAAATTCAAATGGAAAACAGGCCACTAAAATGTTCATAAGGATCCCTGCAGTGACATATTGACTTAAACTTAGAAATCCACCATGTAATGTTAATACATTACATTCTTTTGTGTTTTCATTTTATTAAATATTTTCCAATTACATTTTAATACGTTTGGGTTACACTCCAAAGTGTTGCGGGCAGCAATGTGGTCTGCGGCCTGTGTTTGGAACCTATGAGGCTAGTTTATTAATATAACCATCTTCTCTTTCTTCAGATACACTCATAGAAAACTGCCCTCCCTAGAAAGTAGCAGGGATACATTGACTGGCAGCTCAAGTTGTGCCAACAGGGCACATAAGTAATGTTGAATATGTGGTCCCTGCATCAGTGAATCTTCCACTGTAAAGACCTCAGTATTCCAAGCTGATATAACTAAGAGAAAATGAGAATGTGGGTCTTTTATTAAAACCACAGATCTAGAATTGACACAAATCTAAATTTCCACCTACCAAATGGTGTGTCTGTGTATCCAGATACCTCTCACAAGAAATGCTTCTCAGTGTTCCAACCTGTGCATTGTGAAAAAAAATAATAATTTTGTCCTTGGTTCTTGTCCTCGGCGGCAGGTACCCGCAAGATGGAGTACAGGGGCAATAGCTGGCATGAGACCTGCTTCATCTGTCATCGCTGCCAGCAACCAATTGGAACTAAGAGCTTCATTCCTAAGGATGATCAGAATTTCTGTGTGCCCTGCTATGAGAAGCAATTTGCTATGCAGTGTGTTCAATGCAAGAAGGTACTTTTACTCTCTCAATGACATTTCACAATTTTGTCACTTTGCTTCTGGACTTCCCCTGTGTGATTTTGGCCTTTAACTCCGTATACACACACACACACACACACACACACACATATACACACACACACACATATATATATATATATATATATACACTGCTTCATTAGATTCACCCTCATTTAAACTTCTTGAGCTCTCTGGTATATCATGAAGTTAGAAATCTTTTATCTGTGCCTCCTTCTAGAAAACTTCCAAATATTTTTTCACATAGGTAAATATTAATTTTTGAACTTTATTTTTCTCATTAGTCTTCTTTGCTGTGCTGCTATGTGTTTTTTTCATACGCTGCTCTTCCACAGTATAAAGAAAGGGTGCTCATGCTATTGTTTGCCTTCTTGAGGAGAGCATACACTATTTACTATCTACCTCCAGTTTCAATTCCACTCCCTTTTGATATTGTTTAGATCCATCTCTGGCTCAAATTTCATAGATTTTTAGAGCTGGAAGGGGTCTTAAGAAACATAATGTAATAATGTACATAATGTAAAGTGTTTTGCAAACCTTAGCACACTAAATAAATTCTAGGTGGTGGTAGTAGCGGTGGTGGTGTTAGTAGCAGTAGTCGTAGTAGTAGTAGTAGTAGTAGTATTGTCATGATACAGTACAAACAATGCTAGCCTTTAAATCAAGAGACTTGGGTTTGAGTTCCACTGCTGGCGCTTAAAGTTATATGATCATTGGAAAGTCATTTTACCTTAAGTTTCCTTATCTGGAAAATGAGGTTTGTTGTTTTTCAGTCGTTTCAGTCATGTCCAACTTTTGTGACCCTATTTGGGGTTTTCTTGGAGTGGTTTGCCATTTCCTTATCCAGATTATTTTGCAGAAGAGGAAACTGAGGCAAACAGGGTCAAGTGACCTGCCCGAGATCACACAGCTAGTAAGTGTTTGAGGCCAGATTTGAACTCAGGAAGATGAGTCTTCCTGACTCCAGGCCCAGCATTCTATCTACTGCACCACCTAGAAAATGGGGTACCTGTCAGCTGTTATCTAGTCTGGGTTGCTTACTTTTGAGAGGAAAAAACTGAGACCCAGTCACATAGCAGCAGAGCCAATGGAAAGAACACTGAATTTGGAGTCTAAAAACCTAGGTTCAATCCTGGTTCTGCCACTTATTCCCTCCCTGTGTGATCTTAGGCAAGCTGATTAACCCTTATGACTTTGGTTTTCTCATCCATGAAAAGAAAAATGAGAGGCTTATACTAGCTGATCTCTAAGGGTCTTCCAAATCTAAATTTCTGTTATTTGAACTCGAGCCTTCTTAGTCCAGGTCCAGGGTATATTCAGCACCCTTCTCAGAACCTGATTTAATTTTTTGCAGATAGATAGATGGATGGATAGATAAACAGATAGACAGATAAAGTTTCTTTTAAGAAAGCAAACACCCTCATAGATTGTGTCCCCAGATTTCTTGGTCTTATAATTAACAAATATGTTCTGGGCACTATTAACTTCATCTAGGTCAATTGCAGAATTTATTTGAAACCATTACTGATGCCTGCCTTTATCTTTATCACTAAAATTCCTTCTGTTTCACCATTTAAGGGTTTTTTCTTCCCTTTTTCAGGAAGGCCTATTGTTTGGGGAAACTGCACATTAATCTCTCAGTTTATCACTATTAACTTTTGGCTAAGTCCCACCCCATGCTTTTCCTTTCTGTCAGTCAACCTTAGCCAAAGTGCTTTCAATGAGAGACTTTACTGCCCCTTTTGGAAGTATAGAATCTGTGTGCTAATTTTCAATAATTCAATTCAATAATTTTCAATAATTCACTTTTGAAGCTGCTTTCTCAGACATTTTTTCCCTTTTCTCTACTTACACTGCTTTTAATTTCATCTCTTCCTTAATCCCTGCCTTCTTTCTGCTTCTTATACTTTTGCTTAATTTTCTTTCCATCCTTAAACAACAATCTCCTTTTGTTTGGAGCTCTTGGTTGGTTTTATCTTGGTAAGACCTGGGCAAAATTCATTGTTACTTCTAGCTTTTGTCCCAGCAGGGAAATTGAAATAAATACCTCTTCCCTCTGCTACTAGAAATTTGCCTCTAATACAGAACTTTGAATTTTAAAAATCAGTTTATATCAGAAGCTACCTTATAAAGGGCAGCTAGTTGGCACGATGGATAGAGTACCAGGCCTGGAGTCAGGAGACTCATCTCAGGAGACTCATCTTCTTGAGTTCAAATCTGGTCTCAGACAGTTACTAGGTATGTGACTCTGGGCAAGTCAGTTAACTATTGGCCTCAGTTCCTCATCTGTAAAAGGGACTGGAGAAGGAAATGGCAAACCACTCCAGTATCTTTGCCAAGAAAATCCTAAATAGGGTCACAAAGAGTTGGACAAGACTGAAAAATGACTGAACCTTATAAGGGGACCAGCACCCCTCCTCTAATTGAAAAACCCACCACAATATTTAAACAGTAGAGTTAACAGGCTCTTTTAAAAAGCTATTTACAAGGTTTCCATCACATTCATGACTTTCTTTTTCTAATGAGGGCTGATCTTGGGCTGGCCCTCTTCTTTCTCTGTCCTGCTCTAGAAGTTCCATAAGTTAAAATGTTCTGGAGTATCCAGTATTTCTACCCTAAGTCCTGGAATGTAGTGTATCCATTATGTTATGGTCAGCCCTTTCCAGGCATAGATTGTTTAATTTTTGAATTTGTATCCCTATCACCTATCATAGGACCCCAATGAAAGTACATAGCTTGATTATGCCCCCAAACTACAGATTGCTGCAACATCTCTCCCTAGGGACAAATATTTCAATCGCCATTTTAGAGCTGAAGAAACCAGAGGCAAAAGGTATTGAATAAAATTGTGTGATAACGCTATAAGAAGAAAGAGTGAGGTCTGTAGGGAAATTTCCAAAAACTTACCTATTTTGCTTTAGAAGAATTCTGAAAAGGACCAAATATTGGCAGGTGAGAAAGTTCATTGCTCCGTGAACACACAGGCGATTGTCATTAAGAAGTTGACCCTATAAAAACCTTTGTTTTTCTTATTAGGCCATTACTACTGGAGGAGTCACTTACAGGGAACAACCTTGGCATAAAGAGTGCTTTGTCTGCACTGCGTGCAAGAAGCAGCTGTCCGGACAACGTTTCACTTCTCGGGATGAGGATGCCTACTGCCTCAACTGCTTCTGTAATTTATATGCCAAGAAGTGTGCTGGGTGCACCAACCCCATCAGTGGTAGGTGTTTGCTTTGAATTAAGCAGGAAATGCCTACAAATTCAAAGAGAATCCATTTTTGCATGTGTCAGCTTAAAGTTTGAAAGTATAGCATTTTATAAAAATGAATCTGATTTTGTTAACTGCCTGAACTTTACTCACCATAGGCCAGGGGTGTATGGATCCCTTGGGCAGTCAAGGGCAGCCCAATACTACCATGGTTTGTACCCTGTATTCATAATTGAAGAAAAGGTTTTAGCTAGAAAGAGGTGAAAATAAAGATGTAATTATTTTCCCCATCCAGGTTCATGGACTGTTTAAAATCTACCCCAGGTTAAAAACCCCTGCTGTAGGCTAATATTCTGAGAAAACCTCTTTAGTCTCCTTGACCTATCTCTTTCCACAGATTGCTATTCAACTTTAGCTTGTCTGGTCACTTCTCATCTATCAGGTCTTTTGACATGGAGTTTACTATTTCTGCTTCAAGTTGGATTATTTCCTGCACTGCTGTTTATTAACACATGACAAGCACATGCGATAAAAGAAAGCAGGTGATTCAGACTTGGCAGCTTTGCCCTGTTGGGACTCCTGTTCAAGGTCAAATTGACTTTTTTTATTATAAGGCCTGGCGTAGTGGATATAGAGCAGGCCTTGGAGTCTGAAAGATCTGGGTTCAGGTTTCCCCTTTGATATACATTGGCTGTGTGACCCCATGCAAATCCTTTCATGTCTCAGTGCCCCATGAAACTCTCTGAGTTGCAGAGTAGGTACCTGTCTGAATAGTGGAAATTTCTCATTGAGGTTCAGATCACAGGTCCAGGCCACAAAAGAAAAAAGAAATCCATAGCTCATTGAGGATAAACATAATGAAGTTTTGTTTCTAGTTTTGTTTTTTAATTTCACACCTCTAGTCAGGGTTCACTAGTGGCTCAAAAAATATTTGATTGGTTGACTAGACGAGGAGTGGGGAACGTGCAGCCTCAAGGCCACCTTCCAGGTCCTTGGGTGGGGCCTTTTGATTGAGTCCAAATTTTACAGTACAAATCCTTTACAACACAAATTCTCTGTGAAGTTTGAATTCAGTCAAAGGGCCACATTTGAGGGCCACATGTGGCCTCGAGGCTGTAGATTCCCCACACCTGAATTGGACTGTAATATACACATCAAAGGATCAGATGAGCAATGAGGCATAGTTGGTAGTCAAAGTTAGGAAAAGGGTTATTGTTGTTCAGTTGTGTCCAACTCTCTGTGACCACATTTGGGGTTTTCTTGGCAGAGATACTGGAGTGGTTTGCCATTCCCTTCTCCAGCTCATTTTCAGATGAGGAACTGAGGCAAATAGGGTTAAGTGACTTGCCCAAGGTCACACAGCTGGTAAGTGTCTGAGGCCAGATTTGAACTCAGGAAGATGTCTTCCTGACTTCAGGCCCAGCATTTTATCCATTGCGCCACCAGCTGGCCTAGTTAGAAAAATACAGGTCTACAATCCCATCTCTGAAACTTAGTGGCTGTGTGACCGTGGGCCAAACACTTAATTTCTCTGAGTCTTAGTTTCCTAATCTGTAAAAGAGATAATAACACCCATAGTACCTACCTCACTGGCCTGTTGTAAAGTTTAAAAGAATGTCTGTAAAGAGCTTGACAGATTTTAACACATTACAAGTGTAGGTTATTAGTTTTAAAGTCTTTCTAAGACTGTAAGTTCCGTGAGGGTAGGGACTGTCTTTTGCCTTTTTTTTTTTAATATCCCCAGTGCTTAGCACAGTGCTTGACACATATTAGGGATTTAATAAATGTTTATTGGTTGATTTTCCTGTGTTACAATGCAAAGAGTGACTTTGCATATCTTAGCATTATCCTAGAATTATAAAATATTAGAGCTGAAAGGGACCTTGGAGGTCATCTAGTCCTTTGGCAGATAAGGAAACTGAGGCCCAGAGAGGTAAGGAGACCTTTTAGAATTAAAAAATAAAGAAAAAGGAATGATGGAATTTATTTTGATTTGAAATTCACCTTCCAATGTTTCTTTTTTAGATTTCTTTCTTAATCATACAACAGTTTCATGGTATTGGGCAATAAAATATTGAATTCACTACAACCTCATAGACGTTTCTATTGTAGGAATAATAACAATAATAATAATAGTAATAATAATCCAGCACTTGACAGTTTGCAACATGCTTTATGATTACAAAGTCTTCTCTAGACAGAAACTGATAGGATAGAAATTCCATGAAAAGAGGGAAACTAATTTTCTGAAAAAGAAAAGTAGAATCTTGAGGCCCATGAGAAGAACTTTTGAAAACATAGTTAAAAGACACCTTTTCTGGATTTTCACACCAGTGCACACGGGTCTGGTAAGGTGAATTTCTGGCAAACATCAGGACTCTTATCCTGATTGAGAAAAATGCAGTTTTAAAAACATGATTTCTTTTTAAAGATTAGAATTATCACACTTTGTGAAAGAAGATGCTTAATGTGACTATAGACTCCTTCCATCCCTCTTGCCTCCTTTGCTGTATTCTTTCTATTGGGCTAAGCAAGACAAATAGTGGTGCTTCTTATACTAGGTTTTTGTTTTTTTTTTTTAAATTGGGATAGAAGATATATTCTTTCTTCTCAGGCTTAGCCAACTGACTCCAACCTATGGAACATAGTTAGTAAAATAGCAACAGGGATAAAAGGGCTTCTCCATAATTTCACAGTTTGGTAGAGTATTGAAAAGTGCATTTCTATCACTTTCTGCCTATATGATGACCTCTGGGAATTCACTTTTAACTCCCTGGGGTCTCAGTTTCATTAAATATAAAATGAGGGAATTGAACAAGGAATAAGTGAGACTCATTTGCCCCCTTCCTCTTTATTATTCCACGGTGGGAGGAAAGGCTGGTCTCTTACTGGAAAGATTACCAATGAGAAACCAATCTCACAAAGTACTTTGTTTTGCACCTATTTAGAGTATTTATTGTAGGATATTGTATATTATATGTATATGTGTGTGTCTTATTCTCAGTTCCATGAGGGCAGGAAGAACTGCATATTATTTAACTTTGTATCTCTTTCATTCACAAGCATTTATTGAACTAGTCACTGCGCCTCAGAGTCTATGTAGATATTTAATGCTTTTTTCATTGAAGTGAACTCTTGCTTTAGGTTTTACATAACTCAAGGCATGGTCTAAATGACTTCAAAGTCATTCCTACCTGTAGTGAGTTAAGTAATTTTAAGGCACTTTATAGCTGTGGTGTTCATGTGTCCTTGATTTTCCAGGATAGCCCCAATTTCAAGGAAAGAAGGGTACATTTAATAAGATATGCAAAAATAATATTCTTTGACCATATATTCTTGGTTTAGAATATATGGTCACCCATTGCCTTAAAATACAGTATTCCAGTCATTGGGTCTTTGTTGGTTGTTCATTACAAATCAATCTAGTTCCTCTTGAGAGATGCCATCTGTGAAGGTGGAAGATATATATGTGGAAATGAAGGTGATGTTTTACTTAATTTTTTAAATTAATTTTTATTGAAATCTTTTTTACATAATCATTTTCCTAGTATCCTAATATGAGCCATCTCATATTACAAGTAGTATTTTTAAAGATTAAAAAAAAGGAAAAAGAAAAAGGAAAGGAAAAAATCAGTACAACTGATCGATACTCTGAAAAAGTCTAAAAACATGTGCAATGTGGGATCCCTGTGGATGCCCCATCTCCTCAAAAAGGAGACTTGAGATAATCCTTTCATATTTCTTCTTTTGAGACATGTTTATTCTTCATAATTTTGCAACATTTACTTCTGATTTTTGTGTGTGTAATTTTTCTTTCCATTTATATTGTTGTAATCATTGTCTGTATTGTTTTCTTGACTCTGCTTTACATCAATTCATGTGGAAATGAAGGTAATACAAAAAAATTATATCAGTTGCTTAAAATCCATTAAGAAAGAGTTGTAGGATTTGGATTAATATGCTTTATCTGTAGTAGACTGGAGGTAATCAATGGTCAAAATTCAGCTTAAGCAGTTGATAGTAATAATAGCTAGCCCATACAATACATACATACATACATACAGATATACATACCAGCTGGGTGGCACAGTGGATAGAGTACTGGGTCTAGAATCAGTAAGACTCATCTTTTTTAATTCAAATTTGGCCTTAGACATTTACTAGCTATGTGACCCTGGGCAAGTCACTTAACCCTATTTGTGTCAGTTTCCTCATCTGTAAAATGAGCTGGAGGAGGAAATGGCAAACCACTCCAATATCTTTGCCAAGAAAACTACAAATGGGGTCACAAATAGTTGGATATGACTGAAACAACTGAACAACAACCACAACTCTGTGTTTGTGTGTGTGTGTGTGTATGTATGTGTGTAATCCCATTTTAAGGTATGCAAAGCAAATTACATACATTATCTCATTTGATCCACGTAACAACTCTTGAAGGTAAGTGTTAGTATTGTTCCCATTTTACAAATAGGGAAGGGCCATTGCCAGTTGGCTTGACTCACATCTTGCCACTAGACTCACATGACCCTGGTAGAGAGAGTAAGGCTGATGACTTTGCATAGCTCTGCCTCACTTAAATCCAGTTCACTTGCCAGTTAAGGCATTGCCCTCATGATGTCAGTCAGTCCTTTTCAAGAACAGAAAGACGAACAACCAATAGGGAAACTGAAGCAAAGAGCAGTTAACTAACTTGCTCAGGGTCATGCAGCTACTTGGTGTCTGAGGCAGGATTTGAACTTGAGTCCTCCTCACTGCAGGTTCAGTGCTCTATCCACTGTGCCACCTAACTGTCTGAGTTACTCAGCACTAGGGATTCTAGGAATAGACATTACTCAACAGTGGTTTTTTTTTTTCCTTTAATGTAAATATTATAGGGACATTTTGCTTTAAACTACAGCCATAAGGATTTTTCTTATAAGGAACTCCTCTCTATAATTTAAATCTACGTACAAAATTTCCCTAGAATTTGTTTTAATAATTACAGAAGGCATGCCCATTTGAAAATTATAGCAGACTGCATTTTATTTCCAGATGACATACTGAATTTCAGAACTAAAGGTATCCTTGTGGAGTACCTTTCTCCTTTTCAGCTTCCTTTTCTGTGTTAGAAATGTAAGCCCTTTGAGGGCAGGGACATTCTTTCTTTCTACTTATATTTATATTCCTGATGCTTAGCACACAGCAAGTACTTAATAAATATTTGTTGACTAAATTACTGAATTTAATGTACTTCTTAATACCCTTTTCCAAGTCTACTATTTTTTTTTCTAATGGAGTGATATTTAGTCACAGTCAGTCAGTTTCCTTAAAGATCTTTGTGTAGACAAATAGGAAAGACCAAGCAGTCAAGCTCAGAGGGACTTCATTTCCTTTGAGCAAAAATTAGCCCCAGTTTCCATAGGCTTCTTGTAAGCCTTAGCAATAGATGATTCATATTCCTCCTACTTCACTCTTCTTCTCAGCCCAAGAAGCCCTAGGTCGATATGCCTTTAGTGCTGTATCTGATGCAAATTTTCCTTTCACCAGGACTTGGAGGAACAAAGTATATCTCTTTTGAAGAACGCCAGTGGCACAATGACTGCTTCAACTGCAAGAAGTGTTCTCTGTCCTTAGTTGGACGTGGCTTCCTCACCGAGAGGGATGATATCCTTTGCCCAGAGTGTGGAAAAGATATTTGAAGCTCAAAAACAAGGGGAAAGCTGTGCTTGCCAAATACATGCATACATATATATATATATTTTTTTTTCCTGAAATATGCCTATGTTGTATACTAGCTTTAATGAGCCACACGCAGACTTTCTTTGTGGGTTTTGCAGTGGGCCTCACATCTATAAAACTTTTTTTCTCCTGGGTTGGACGTGTCCAGAGGAAATAGCAAATACTTTTTCTTCTAGCTATAGCAAGGGAAGTGGTTCTGAATTTGTGTAACTGAGGCAGGTCCAAGAGTGAATAGATAACCGATCAATATGAGCTAATTTTCTTTCTTTGATTGAATGATTGATGCAAAGAGAAAATACGGTCAACGTAGGATTTGAAAATCTTTCCAAAACACGAGGGAATGTCCTGGCTGAGGATGGTGTTCGTTGACTGTGTAACCACATGTGATACAAGGTGTAGAGTAAATTCTTGTGGTTTAGAATGTGTATATGTCAGAACAAAACTTTGTGCCACACACAGTGTGAAATGATAATTAATCACTGAAGGCAGAAATGTTATGTAACAAGCACCTGCTGTGTTGCATGATTAGGTAATTGACTGTGTCAGTGTTAACTGAAATTGCATCACGCCTTATCTTTTTCAAAATAATAAAAATTATGTCAGCCAACAACGTCACATTTCCCTTTTAATTGTCTGTTTCTCCCTCAAAATATTTTTGCTTGAAATTTGTGGCTTTGTCAACAGGCATTTATTAAGTGCTTAACTATGGTGCCAGGCACTGAGCTCAGTGCTGGGGCCACAAAGGAAGGAAAAAAACAATCCTTGCCCTCAAAGAATTCACATTCTAATGGGATGGGCAACAACAGGCAAATAACTATGTATATAAAATATATATACAAATTAAATTGGAGGGACCAGCATTAAGTGGGAAAAACTTATAGAAGGTGGAAATCCAGGGAAAATACATTGGGTAGAGAGATGGAGTGTGAGGAACAGCAAGGATACCAGTGTCACTGAATCATAAGACTAGGTGGAAGATAGAAAGGTGTAAGAAGACTAGAAAGGTAGGAAGGGGTCAGGGTGTGAAGGGCTTTAAAAACCAAAAAGAGGATCCTGGAATTAATAGGGTACAGGGAGCTGAGTAGAAGATGGGCTGGAATTGGGAAAGACTTCAGGTAGTGACACTGTCCAGGACACTATTATAATAGTCCAAGTATGAGGGATGAGGATCCATACCAGGGTGATGGCAATGTCAGAGAGGAGAAGAATAAGGCATATAGGAGAGGAGATGTGACAGGCAACAGATTAGATATGTGAGGTGAATGAAAGTGATAATTATACCTGGGTTGGTAGCTTGGGTAATTGGGGGCATGGTGTTAACCTTCAACAGTAATAGAGAAGTTCAGAAGAGGGGAGGATTTACAAGAAGAAATGATGAGTTCATTTTTGGATAGCCGAGTTTAAGATGTCTTTAGGACATCTAGTTCAAGATGCCCAGAAGATAATTGAAGATATGAAACTAGAGATCAGAAAAGGAGTTTAGGACTGAGTAAATAAATCTGAGAATCATCTGAATAAAGATGGTCATTGAACTCTTGGAGCCAATCTCACAAAATGAACTAGTGTTGGGAGAGAAGAGAAGTGGGCTCAGGACAAAGCCTTGGGGTACCCAAGGTTAGTAGGCATCACTTAGATGATTGAGGACTGAGCAACCAGTGACTGAAGAGCCAGAGAGGTAGGAAGAGAGCTAGGAGACAACAGTGTCTCAAAATTTGAGAAAGAAGAGAGTATTAAGGAATAGAGAGTAACTGACAGTATTAAAGGCTACATAGAGGTCAAGAAGGATGAAGGCTGAGAAAAGGCCATAGATTTGGCGATTTAGCGATCACCAGAAACTTTGGAGAGACAGGTCAGAAGCTAGAGTGCAGAGAGTTTAGAAGAGAGTGAGAGGACAAAAAGCACCATTTGTAGATAGCTTTTTTTTTTTTTTTTTGGTGAGGCAATTGGGGTTAAGTGACTTGCCCAGAGTCACACAGCTAGTAAGTGTTATGTGTCTGAGGCCAGATTTGCATTGTAGATAGCTTTCTTAAGGATTTTAACTACAAAAAGGAGAGATACAGAAGATAGCTATCAGGGATGGATGGGTCAAGGGAGGGTTTCTAAAGGATGGGAGTAACATGGGTGTTTATGTAAGCAGTAGCCAGGCAGAGATTGAAGATTATTAGTGAAAGATTCGCAATGATGGAGAGGGCAATCTGCTGGAGAAAACAAGAATAAATGGAATCAGGGTGCATGTACAAGGGTTAGCCTTGGCAAGGACAACTACCTCTTCATGTGAAACAAGTAAAAGAGGAGAGAGGGAGAGAAGAAATATGAATGACATGCTATGATCGCATGATGTCTAAGGTAAGCAACAAGTTCAAATCTGCAGTTAACTGGAGCTAATGATAAAGAGATCACCATCACAGGTTTACTCTTTGCTTGAATATTATTTCATGGTAAAAGACAATACACCTAGCATTGAGGTGCTATTCATTGCTAAGTGTTAGTGTGCTATTATGTTGGCTATGATTTTTTCTAAAAAACATACCTTTGTGTCACAAAGGCTAAAATTTTAAATTGCTTAAAAATTTAATAGGAAAACCACAAGCTCACACATAAGCTCAAACTGCTGACACCAAGTGCTCAATTAGTAGTTATTATGATATTACAACACTTATCTTAAGAGAGCCAATTAGAAGGAAACAAAATATCCTGGAAAGGGTACTCGAATATCACTATTACTGTTGAGAGCAGTACCATTTCCCCAGGCACCCAGGCTCACAAATAAGGGGTCATTGTCAACTACGATTCACTCACTTCACATACCCAAATGGCATTTCTACCTTCACAACATCTCTCACATCTGAACCCTTCTTTCCACTTACACAGCCATCATCCAGGTTCAAGCCCTCATTATGTCTTACCTAGAGTATTGCAATAGCCCCTTTAAAAAATTCAGTTTTATTTTCAGTTACAAATTCTCTTCCTTCCATTTCCCCATCCCTCACCAATTGAGAAAGCACCCATTACTATATGTGTGTGTATATATATATATATATATATGTTTTGGCATTAGCTATGTCCGAAAAAAAATGTTTCAGTCTGTACTTTAAGTCTGTCACCTGTCTGAAAGTAGATAGCATATTTCATCTTGAGTCCTCTGCAACTATATAATTGGTTCCTCTGTATTGATCAGAGTTCCTAAGTCTTTGAAAGCTGTCTTATAGTATTGTTATTGTATAAATTATTTTCTGATTTTGCTCACATCATTTTGCATGTATGTTTATACAAGTATTCCCAGGCATTTCTAAAAGCACCCCCTTCATCATTTCTTACACCACAGAAAATCCCATCATAAACATATACCATAACTTACTGAGTCATTCCTCAATTGATGGGCATCCCTTCAGTTTCCAATTCTTTGCCACCATGAAAAGAGCTGCTATAAATATTTTTGTACAAATAAGTCCTTTTCCTCTTTCTTTGATCTCTTTGGAATGTAGACCTAGTAGTTGTTGCTGGATCAAAGGATATGCAAAGTTTATTAGCTTTTGGGGCATAGTCCCAAATTGTTTTCCAGAAAGGCAGGACCAGTTCACAATTCCACCGACAATGAAATAATGTACTTGTTTCTCAAGTCCTTCTAATATTGTTATTTCCTTTTTTTTTTAACTTTGCCAAGCTGATGGATGTGAAGTGGTATCTTGGAGTTGTTTTCATTTGCATTTCTCTAATTATTAGTGATTTAGATTTTTTTTTTTTTGGCATATGGCTATTGATAGATTGGATTTCTACTTCCAAAAACTTCCTTTTCACATCCTTCAACCTTCAGTAGCCTTCTAATTGATTTCCCTGCCTCAAGACTCTTTCTACTCCCAGCCTATCTTCCACTCAGCTCCTAAGGTCATCTTTCTAAGGTATAGGTATGAGTGGGTCTCTTACCTACAGAATCAAACAGAAATTCCTCTGGCTTTTAAAGCTCTTCAAAACATAGACCTTTCTGGTCTCCTTACACCTTACTCCCCTTCATGTATTCTGTGTTGCAGCTATACTGACTTCCTTCTTGTTTTTCAAACAGGATACTCTGCCTACCATCTCTGTAGCTTTGCCCTAGCTGCCCCCCCTCCACACCCACCCTATGCCTGGAATGCTCTGCCCTCTCACCTCCACTTTTTCATTTCCCTGGATTCTTTCCAAGCTCAACTCAAATCCTATCTTTTACAGAAGGCCTTTCTGGGTCTCTCTAGCTACTAGTGCCTTCCCCCCTTATATATTTTCAAACATGTTGTTTGTCCCTAGTTATTACATTTTGTATGTAACCTCCTTGAGGACAGGGACCATTTTCCCCTTTCTCTCTATCCCCAAAGCTGGCCTAGTGCCTGGTTTATAGTAAGCATTTAATAAATACTTGTTGACTGAGTCAGAGGACTCAAGTTCTGCTACCAGTGTTATCACTAACTGGTCACATGATCTCAGGCAACTTGCTTAATATCCCTGGGATTCAGTTTTCTCCAATGTTAAAGAAGGCGAATGAACTAAACCATTAAGTTCCTTTCTAGTTCTAAAATTCTAAGATTGTATAACATCTGTTGCTACATATTTTAAAAGTGACCACCACTTAGAACTTTATCCAATGCCCAGAACAAGGCAGTTTTCATTATATTCCCTGAACTAAGGTTATAATCTCTCATTCTGCCATTTCTTATGTCATGGAATCATAACTAGATCTGAGAGAAAAGTTAGAGCCCCTCCAGTCCACTCATTTTACAGGTAAACAAACAGGTTCAGAAAGCTTATAAACTTGGGAATTATAAACTTGGGAAACTAAACAGAATGATGCAAGTGGTGATTTATGATGGAAAGAGATTTGGGGTTAGACCTGGATTCAAATCCCAGGTTTCCTACCATCTATGTGGCCCTGGGCTACAACATCATCCTGTTAAGTTTCTCAGTTTTGTAATTTCTTTTGAACTTAAAAAGACACAAACATCTGGAAAACAGGAAACTACATTTAGATTTTGCTATCCTGTACTTCTTAGAGTAGCAGGTGACTTTACCAAAAAACCTATTTTTAAGCTCTAGACAGATCATCTCACCTATAGGGCAACCCTAAAGCATTTAATTTTTAACAACATTTTATTTTCCCCCAGTTATGTGTAAAGACAATTTTTAACATTCATTTTTTTTGGAAATTTTGAGTTCCAAATTTTCTCTCTCCCTCCCCCACATACCGTGCTCCCTGAGACAGTAAGCAATTTGATATAGTTATACATGTTCAATCATGTAGCATCTAATTTTTTTGAATGTATGAAGTGTGTACCATTTACAAAGCACTGTGCTAGGCACTGGAGATACATAGATTAAAAAAAATTAACAAGTCTGGGGGCAGCTAGGTGGCGCAGTGGATAGAGCACCGGCCTTGGAGTGAGGAGGACCCGAGTTCAAATTCGGTCTCAGACCAGAGACTTGACACTTACTAGCTGTGTGACCCTGGGCAAGTCACTTAGCCCCAGTTGCCTTGCCACCCCCAAAAAATTACCAAGTCCCAAACTGCAATGAGCTTTTATAATCTAAGGTGGGGAAGGGGGATAAGTCTAGAAAAAATATTATAAAAGTCTTTTAATTGACTCCCT